AAGCGAGGCTCACAGTTTATCCATCTTCCCCAAACCACACTGTTCCTTTTCATAGAAAGCTGCTCCTTGAGACTGGCTAGAACTCGTAGTCCTCATCAGCCATGTCGATGGCCCAGGCAAACTTCTCCCGCTGGGTTTTGTTGTAAATTTTCTCAATTGGGACCCCCCACTTCTTGCACCTGCAACAAGCGAGGAAAAGAAGGATCAGTGTCTCCAGGAACAACAGCGGCCCAGACCTGGGCCAGGGGCTTGGATGCCTTCTCCTCCACATCCGCCTGGTGAGAACGAGAATGCAGGTGCTCAACTCATTTAACCTTGGCAATGACCTCTAAAGCAGGCACTACTACAGATGTACAAATGTAAAGACTAAGGCAGAAAGGTTGCGTTCTCAAGCAGAGTGAGCATGGAGCTGAAAACTGAACCCAAGCAGTCTGGCTCCACAGTCCACTGCCTTTCAAGCTATCCAATCCCCTAGCACCAAAGTGGGCACAAGGCAGGTGTGGAAACCTCAGCCCAGAGTAGCAGGTGCCACAGGGGATGATTCCTCCACTTAGGTCCAGGACTTAGCAACTCAAGGTAATTAATAAGCATCTTCAAAAACCTACTTATTTTAAGATTTTTTTTATGATGGTGTGGGTGTGTGGCAGGAGACAGAGGAGTGAGCAAACAATAGAAAATGTATCTGCTTTTGTTCTCATTTTTGTTTTTTCCTCCTTGTTCCTGTCTTCCTTCACTTGTTAAAAAAAACAAAAAACATTAAAACATTTTGTTAGCCCTGGCTGGTGTGGCTCAGTGGATTGCATGCCAGCTAAGGAACCAAATGGTCACCAGTTTGATTCCTAGTCAGGGCACATGCCTGGGTTGCGGGCCATGTTCCCAGGAGAGGCGACCACACACACAGATATTTCTCTTCCTCACTTCCCCTCTCTCCAAAAATAAATAAAATCTTAATTTTTTTTGTTAAAGTGAAGGGCTCTTTTATATATTTTCCTTCAGTATGAGCAAAGTTTCCATTCTTAAAGTTCCCTAAGGAATGGGGACTGTACCTGCCTTTTAAAAACAAACATAAACACACTCAAAGGTGGGGTAACAGCCTTGCCTGTTGAGGACCATCCAGAATGTTCCAACGCCTTTGAAGCATGCACATCCGAATTCTGGCAGAGGTTTCCCAGAGGACGGGAAGTGCATGGTGCTGTCACGACCCTGCCCCCCCCCACCCACCTCACAGCAAAGGGCTCAGTGCTTACCAAGCCACCGAGATCCGCGGGTCCAGATAGTTGAGTTTGGAGGTTCCCAAAGCGATTTGCTTATTCTCCTCCCTGTCCGTGGCCTGAACTTCGAGCTTCATCAACTGTTCCTCCAGTCTCTGCACAGCCTTCTTCTTTGACTCTACCACCCTGGGAGAACAGATGTCATCAAGGACCAGGCCTGGCCTCCAGACAAGAACACTGCCACACGACCCCAGCCACCCACTCGCCACTGAGGGGCCAGTAAAAGCAGAGAGCCCCGAGACAGAGACTTCCAAAAGACATCACTGAGAAACCCCAGAGGAGTGGGGTCCTGGGGCACCTGGCTCACACTGCACACCCCCAGCCACCCCGGCTTCGCACACCACCAACACATACTTCCTGGTCTTGGCGTCCTTCATGACCTTGGCATCGGCTTTAGCACTTTTCAGGTCTCTCCGAGCATCTGCTAGCTGTTCCTTCTTGGCATCGATCTGGGTGGGGAAGAACATCAGTTTTAGGAATTAAAAAAGCCCCCCCAAAAGAAAAGAATGGCCACATTCGAGAAGATGAAGCCTGGATGTTGTCTCCACCAGGCCGGCAGGCCTGTTCTCTTGGTGATCTGGCAGGTGAAACAACCAGGGGTAGCTTTGTGAGAGCACAGAGTAGGTGCACAGGGACTGCTCAATTCAGCTGCCGTTTGGCCATTTATGTTCTTTCGTGACCCATCAGGAAATAAGCCAGATGCTCAGGGAAAAGGACCCGCTGGGCCTGGGAATGTGGGCGCTAATCTTTCACAGATCCCTCTGGCTTTAGACACCTCGGAGGGCTACAGATGACAGCTGTTTACCAAACGGAACTGATGCCAGGCTGTAGCCTTCATTCCGAGAATGCCGCAGAAGGCACCCTACAAGGCTGAGACAGGGTCCTTACATCCGCTGAGCTCCACTCGCTCCTCAGACTCTGCCAGCACTCTGGGAAGGAGCTGCCAGCTTCTCAAGAAAAAGGATGCTTGAAGAGACTAGCCAAGGAACTCAGACGTGGCAATGAAAAGGTCAGCTAGTCTGTTCCAAGCTGGTACATGGCCTGGCCTGCCTTTGGCATTGTTTTCAAAAGGACAGGGAGCTGAGATGGGAAGAAAATTCGTTTTTCCTCGAAAACAGAAATTTGGAGCTCTTTTTCCAAATAGAGCTCATGGAGTCGCAGCCTTTCTTGCCTGACCGAGCCCTGGAAGCACCCCTTGAGAACCCATGTCTCCTCTGAGTTCCTGCTGGAGGACGGCAGCAGGCAGCGCTATGGAACCAGAGCCCACACCTGGGAGCTGGTGCTGCTGAGAGCAGGGGCGCCCCTGGCCTGCTCACTCTGCTAACCTGTGAGGTCGAGGGAACCTCTGTAGAGTACACATGAGCCTGACTCAAACACACTGGGTTGCTGCGCTCAGCCTAGAACTGTCTGTTAGAGATATACACACACAGCCCCATATTGGAAACAGAGGCTACTACTGTGAGACAATCATTAAATGCATTCTGCTATGAATGGCTTACTCCCAACATTTATGTTGTCTGAAGGCAAGCTGAAGGAACCGGTTCTATACAGCATCACAGACACCACTAGCCAGATTCTTCTTCGTCTAGAAATGCAACACACCACAGTCTCTTAACCATTTCCGCGAACACTAAACTGGCAGGCTACGTCAATGCTCCCAAAGCGTCAAAGACTCCATTGATTCACTTGGCAAACAGGGGCGTGTGTGTGCTCTGTGGGCACACAGGGGAGCGTCCTTGGGCTCAGAGGTCTCGTCTGGCAGGCAGCCTGGGCTGCCCAGACCGTGGTTCCAGAGTGAGGGCAACAAAGACCTCCTCATGCCCCAGGGCAGGATCTCTTGAATCAGGTAAACACCCCCTGAATATTCATGCTTTTATTTTGGGCTCAGAATGCGATGAGTGTAAACGACACCAGATGACCACCATTTAACAGAGTGACAGCAAATGGGGGCAGCCAGGAAGGGTGGTCTGTAGGGTTCTCTGTTTGCCGACCACAAGTACTCAGGAGCTTTATGGACGCACACTGGTTTGCTGTGGCCGTGTGCATCCCGTCAGCAGGATAGCACTGTGGGCTGTGTGTAGCTTCTGACCCAAACGTACTACTCCTGTGTATTTACCTTGAAGACGTTTCAACAGAATGAAACATCAACATGTGCCTGAAAACATGTATGTGGTCTCACTCTATAGCGGCTGTTAACCCCAGCTGTCCCAGTACAAAGGGTAAAAAAGAAATCACATCTGTGATTTCATTAACCTCAAGTTGAAATTCATCACTTCTCCTTCAATTATGTGGGTAATAAACTATAGTAAGGTCAGTATTACCTCTATTATCAGCAACGGACAGTACAGACATTTTCATATCATAATTATTGCAGAAATAGTGAAGTATCACTCATACTTATCACTATCTTAGAATTTACAGAGATCATTAGAACAACCTTAAGATCTTGGTAAGTAAGTTAATAAGGAAGTACATCTGATGTACAGACTTTAAAATATGTTTGACAAGTATATTTTAAGATCGTTGGTTTCCTTTGTAACTCTTATGTGTCTGGTCTGTAATGAGTACCTGCAAATTCTCATTGTGGGTTAGTAGGGGGTTGGCCATAAAGCTCGTTTAGTTATTTTCCATACTATGGCTCTAGCAGTGAACTTCATTTAAAACAATTTTGTTAGGTTGTATTGTGACAGCTGTCATATCAGCGTGCATTAAAAAAACATCAAAATTGGTAAATTTCTGTGCAGCCACTTAAAAATTGAAGAAGGAAGAAAATATGCAACATTCTTGGCATATTATGCATTATTATTTCCAGAAAGGTAAAAATCTGACTGAAATAGAAAAAAGATTTGTGCAGTATATGGAAAAGGTGCTGTGACTGACTGTGTCAAAAATGGTTTGCAAAGTTTCATGGTACTACTGATTTGGGCCAAATATTTCTTTGCTGTGGGGCTGTCTTATGCATTGGAAGATGTTTAGCAGTACCCCCTGGCCTCTCTTCATACCTAAAGCCAATAGCGGGAGTTAGCCAAATGCTTAAAACACCCAAATCAATGAAGTTATTGGTGAAAATGAAAAATGTCTCTTTTATTTTATGGAAAAACATCATGGACTTTTTGGCCAATCCATTATGAGACAATGGGTTAGCCACTGCTCACATAAAAATGTCCCCCATCAAATGTTAAGTGTCTTGTGGCTTAAAAGCTCAATACCAGGCAGAGCTGGAGGGAGGAAAAAAAGGCACAACTATTTGTACGTCAGTTTCTCCCTAGTATTCAAAAGATGTCTGATGAAGAACTGCAGAAGACAGGATTCATGTGGAATGTGTAAAAATAAAAACAGTTGTGCTAGAATTGGGGGGGAATGATCAGTTTCTTCATCTTTTCAATTTCAAACAATCTAATTTGGAAACAGTTTTATTTTGGGGCTGTGGCAAGGATCCATGAAGACTATTTATATCCATTATCCTCTTGTATAATAAGGACAACTATCAGCAGTATTTCAAAGAGGGTGTATCAAACTTAAGCTTTTCAAAAGGACCAACGAAGACCTGTCCACAGAGTGAACATCTGAACAATGGGCACCTGATACTCAGTATCTTGATCAGGGGAACTACTACCCTAGTTCTACTTGTTTAGCTTTAGTGTGGCTTTTTCTTCCAGAACAGACTCAGAAATGGCCGTCTGATATCCCTGCCTGGACGGCTGGATTTTAAGTGCCTCTCGTTTTCAGGTGATCAGCCTACGGCAGACACCGTTCTCTTCATTTGGCCACCCTACTATTCAGATCCAAGATACCTTAGTTTGCAAGTTCATCATGGACTTCTCAAAAGTTTTTGGTGGCGCTCTCTGATGGTTACACAGAATTGCGACAGCTCGGTTGGCACGGTTGTAAGACAGGATCTTCGCTGGGATGTTCTCGTCCGCTGTACAGAAAGAACGTGACAGCAGAGTCAGTCTGTACGAGCGAACGCACAACGTGCCTCCCTCAGTGCTGCACCCTCACGACGTCACTGCCCCTTGTGTCCTTGGATGAGCAATTTAAGTTTCCCCAGGCCACAAGGTCAAATCTAAACACTCATCTGCCCGCTGCAGTGCCTGCCTCTGCAACCTCCCCAGCAAGTGCACCTGAGGACAGCAGGGAATTGGGACAGACGAGGCCTGCAGCGGAGGATAAGACAAAGGGACCGTGAGCTTTACATTTTAAAATCCCAGGGTAATACAATGTAAAAAATAAAATAAAAAGTATTCAAGGAATGTTCTTACTGTGACATTCTTTATCCTATGCTAAAATACTGACCTTCCGTATGCCCATCTCTGGCTTCTCTGGCTTACATTCTAAAGCCATTTGACCTATTTATAGAGGACAGTGGGAATGCAGCAGTAACAGGGTTCCAGGGGAAAAGCATGCAGATCTGGTGGTACCTCCTGCAGCTGTTTAGACTACGACCTACTCTTAAGGAGGAAAAAAATGACAGAAACCTCAAGGAAAAGATTTGCTCTGCTATTTTTTTAGTAACCATGACAACCTTACTCTCCCCAACTTAACAGGACATTGCAGCACTATGTGCTGCACACATACAAAACACACACATACAAAACACAAAATGCAGGTGTTTTCAAAACAGAATGCAAGCCCCTGTCAGCACTCCAAAAGTAGAATCTAGAAGCTGGGGTGGGAATGGGGAAATGGCGCTGGATTTTGTTTATACAAACTGAGCCTTCCCTCTCTATTCGAGGTATGCAGGGGAAGTTTCCTCCTCCCAAGTTAAGGAGGAAAGTGGAACAGATCTAGGACTCAGCTGAACGAGGACAGTGGACTGTATCTGTAGGACGTGGGCCCTGTGTGGCCAAGTGGTACTTACGGGCTGTGAGTTCTTTGAGCTGCTGCTGTAGCGTGATGGAGGCGTTGTACGTACGGAACACCTTGGCTGTCAAGCCCTCCATGAGGTCCTGGAGATGCTTATTTAAAATAGCAGTCTGGACGAGATAAAGCAACAAAGAGGATGTTGGGATTCAGGTAGAAGCCATACACCTGGCCCCTTCTGGCAAGCTCCAGGCCCCTGATGCCCATGCGATTACGACTTGCCACATTTCCTGCTCTGCCAGAGGGGGCTGAGAAAGGGGGGAAGAGAATTCCAGAACCTAGGGTTTCATGACACCTCCCTAAGTACTTCAATCTTAAGCAGGCTGATAAAGCAAATTGGTTCTTCCCTGTTAGCATCCTCCCCGATCAGATATCAAGGACAGGTCTTGGGTCTCCAGCAGAGACGGCTGGCATCCAGCCAAGGGAAGGGAAGGCTCTGCAGAAGTCAGGCGAAGATAAAGGCAGGGTTTGTCTGCCTCGGTCTCAGGGCTGTGGCCCTGGATTCACTGTGTGCCGGGGGAAGAAGAGCACACAGGATGCCGCAGCACACACCGCAGGGAGAGCCCAAGTCACCCCCAGGCAAACCCCTCCTTTAGGAGCTTGTGATGTGCTGGCTGGACCCCTCTTCAGTCCAGTGTACACTGTGTCCACTCACATTGAGTCTATCAAAAAGGTCATCCTCAGGCTGTTTGTTCTCCATAAATAATTGCAAGTTCTTAAAAACCTGAAAAAAAATAAGCAGAGCCCAGTTATCATTATTTTTAAAACCTATACTTTGGAAACAACTGCAACTTTTAAAGAAAACCCAAAGCACAAGGAACACTCACGTCCTTCACCCGAACGCACCCACCGTAGCACAGGACCTGATTTACCCCCCTGCAGTGTGCCTGTCTGCCCGCTCCCCTCTCTGCACACGCGTGCGTGCATTAGTTACTTGTTCTGCACCACCAGTGGTACTCACATAGGGTGCAGGTGTTCCCTACATACACAGTACTCATCGGCTTCATAAATTCACACTGATACCTATGTTTATCCAACCTACTGTACACATTCCAATTCTGTCGGCTGACCTAATGATGTCCCGTGCCCCAAGCCAGTGTGGAGTCCAATCTAAGCTCAGGCACTGCATTTAACTGTCAGGTCCCTTTAGCTCTGTTTCATCTGGAGTATGCCCACAGCCAGCCAAGCCTAAGTACTCATTACGCATCAGACTAAAGGGCTGGATTACGGGGGTCCAGTACTCTGTAAGTCTCTGGTTCAAGCCCATTATTTGGGGGGAACCATCAAGCTCCAACACCCTCTTTAGCACCAAGCTCAGAGATCTAAGGGCCAAAGGGCTACCTTTTCATTCAGTCAGAAGCTAGGGAGAGGTAGAGCAAAGCTACAGGTGACAGATGTGCAGCAGGACCAGGGAGTACAGAAATGCAATTAAACCACCACAACGTGGTGGATTAAGTCTTACACTGTTTTTCATGAGGGCACACCTCTACAGCATCCTCTGTTGAATACTGCTATGCGAGATGGCCCTCATCCTCAAGAAGGTAGCGCCAGGGTTGGAGGCGAGGGCAAGAACTGAAAGGAGGTGCACAGGACACCAATGAACACCTCCCCCCTCTCTTTTGGGTCATTTTTTCTAGTGCCCAGCACACACAGAGCACACAAAAAGCACTCAACAAACACTTGCTGGCTGAATGAATGAATGAATGAATGGGTGGATGGATGAAAAAAGAGGCCACCTTAACTTACTCGTTTTTCAACAGGGACTTTGTTATAGTATCTGATCGAGTCCTTCCCGAGGAAGTCAAACTCCACCACGTACTCCTGGCCATCCAACTCTGGGTGCAAATTGATGTGCTCCACGCGCAGCGAGCAGCACCCCACAGTGTCTGCGGTCTCCCCTTCCTCCTTCTCATTGCCTGCTCTCAGAGCAAGCTGTCCAGGGAAGAGAGAGAGAGAAGGGGAGAAAGAGAACCATAAATGAAGAAACTTGAACCTCATAGGATTGTTAGGAAACCCAAACCAGAAGCCGTCCAGTCCTCCCGGGGAGCAGAGCACAAGTCTGCAGGGCCCGGGAACTGTGAAATCTGCACTGTTGGATGGAGACTCACAGGACATTGAACTGCCCTACAAATCCAAGTTTCTCTTCATTCTGTCTTTTCAGATGGGAACGCAGGAAAAGAGGAAACTTACTGTGTGTTTTTTAAAAATATTTTATTTATTTTTAGAGAAAGGGGAAGGGAAGGAGAATAGGAGAGAAACATCAGTGTGTCCCCTACTGGGGACCTGGCCCCCAACCCAGGCATGTGCCCTGCCTGGGAATCGAACTGGTGACCTTTTGCTTCACAGGCCCGTGCTCAATCCACTGAGCCACACCAGCCAGGGCTGCGTTTTCTTTTTTTAAAAGCAGCAACTGAGGGAGTGTTTCTAGTCTTGGCAATTAGACTCAAAAAACCAGTCTCTTAACTTTCCTTAATTTTTGAGACAACTCAGAATTTGTGCTCAAATATAAGCAGTGCAAAACTGGTAAAAAAAAAATTTCTAAAAACCACACACACACACAATCTGTACAGAGCACTGCCATTCAAACTGCAGCTATGATACACCAGCAGATTGTTTAGCCAACTTTAAGTGTCACAATCTTTTTTTTTAAACATGAAGCAGAAAAATATCAGAATTCACTGCTCACAGGAAAGCCAAAGCATTGTTCTGTGCAACCTGTTTCAGTTACACAATCATAAATATACTTGTGTGTTGGGTCAGGATGTCAAATCATTTTTGGTAGCTCACAGAAGAGATTAAAAATGTCACAGCATTTCTGGCACATGCAGACGCAGGCAAACCCTACTTCTGAGGCAGGCTGTATTCAGACAGCAGCGGGTGCTGACTGACCACACCTCCCCCTTCCCCACTGGGCCAGACACCGAGTGGGTGCTGCCCCCACCTCCCTAGAACTCAGCATGGGGCCCAAAGGAGAAAACGCTCCCTACACAGTGTGAATCTGAACAAAATGAGACAGGACATTCTCACCTTGTCGATGAAGTACAGGGCCACCGCTCTCTGCCGCACCTTCATCTCTTTGGACTTCCAGTCTTCCCGATACTGGTTGCGGATCTTGTCCACACACTTCTTCAGCCGCCGGGCTGTCTCATATTTCTGCCAGTCTTTCTCACCCTGCAAAAACCCAAACCCAAAGGTGGACTGCTTAGGGATGGTGGGGTAAAGACAGACTCTAAATATCCAAGTTCAGCACTCTGAACCAAAGAGAAGGAACTTGAGCTTAAAGCAAGGTAGAAAAACAGAGTATTGAAGAGAAATTTTAGGACACTGAACCTAGTGAGAATCAGGTTGCTCCATTCACTGTCAAGCACACCTGGCTCAGTCCAATGACTAAGACAGCCTCTGGCCTTCATTCTGGAACGTGTTTATGTCCTTGGGAAAAGCCCACCGAGCAGCCCGAGATGCTGACTTCTGTCACCACAAAGGGTGTAAGACCCCCGTCGCAGCTTTGGTGCCGAATCTGTGACCCAAGAGCAGTTTCCTGCTCGAGCTGATGCTTGTTAAATTCAAGGCCACCCCTTACAGTGTGATGGAGGGAACTGTCACGGAAGCAGAACCGAAGGAGGAGTTTAAAAATGTTACAGTGTGTAACTGTAAGAGAACACAATGATTTCTAGGAACAGCCATAATTATTCACCGTTTTCAAACTCCTGCATTTAGAAGTATTCTTGATGAGCGGAAACAATGTTCCAGGGAAGCCTTTTCTTTTTAAACATTAGAGCTTTCTGTGGAAGGTTTTAAAACCGACTCCTAAAGCCAACGAAGGGTTTTAGAAGAGTGTGACAAGGCTGCAGTCAGCAGGGATGGGAGATTTCTGCTAGCAAGGACTCATAGTATTAAGTGAGAAAGGTTAAGGAAGAAAAACACTATCCTAGATCC